AGCAGGCTGGCAGCTGGGCTAGGACAGGGGTCGGCAAACGGCAGCTCGCGAGCCACATGTGGCTCTTTGGCCTCTTGAGTGTGGCTCTTCCACAAAATACCATGTGCGGGTGCAAAGTTGACTTAAAACTTTAAGTAAAGTTTATTAAGTTAATTTTAGGGAACATTGTGGAGTGAAAGATGTAGTGTTGAGGATTGAGAAAGGAATGTTGAGATGGTGTGGACGTATAGAGAGGATGAACAAAAGGAGATAGAAGAAACAAGTATACAAGACGAGTGTGGATGGGAGAATTGGAAGGGGTCGACCTCAGCCAAATACCTCAATCAGAGTGAGGACATTTTTAGCAAAGGCCAGTTTAGGAGTACCCTAATTAAGTTAATAACAATGTACCTACCTATATAGCTTAAGTTTAAAAAATTTGGCTCTCAAAAGAAATTTCAATCGTACTGTTGATATTTGGCTCTGTTGACTAATGAGTTTGCCAACCACTGTCCTAGGTCAATGACAAACATACAAATAATTAATTTAATAAAAATCAATCATAGTATTCTTCTCTACCACGTATAGACAAGGCCTCAGCCTTTGTCAATACAACATTATATACTATTCACTAGATAAAAGCTATTTATCACCTACATTAACCATGCCTAAGGGTAAGAAATACCTAGACTTTAACTTGAGCTATCCACATTCTCTCTCATCACATTCTCATCTTAATGTGGTATCCAATCAGGGCTAGTGACTCAGAGGAGGTGGGAACAAGGGTAGGGTGAAGAGAAGCACAGTTTGTGGCTAAGATATCCAGCATAGCTAGCCAGCCACATACAGCAAGCCTAGGGCGGAGATCTTGATAGCAACAAAATTCTGTCTTTGTGCTCAACCAATCATATAGCAGAGGAAGATTCAGAAAGCTACAAAGTGCTTACGTAATTTCTCCAAGATCTCTTCATCAGACATTTTAGGCTTCTTCTTCTGCTTCTCAGTATTCCGGGTCAGAGCATCTGGAGGAGTGATGTTACTCTCCGTAGGTGAAATGGGAGATGTAGCCACATCCCGAGTTGGAGTAACAGGAAGTGGTTCAATCACAGACCGAGTGTAGACCTGCATTGTTGGTATAAGAATTGGACAAGGCCAACCTCTGTTAGTATAGCGAAGCTCAGGAGCCTCTCTTAAATGTGCGTTAAAACAACCACATAAAAACAAATCCCAACAAACTCATTCGTTCTCACAGGTCAAAATCTATGTCCCTCCTCCTCTGTGCCAGGCCTATCCTCTGTGGTTGGAATGGCCTTCCTTGCTCTCAGTATACACGGCAAGGGTTAGTGAGAGTCTGAACAATGACGATATTCAATACAGGTTAGACAACTCTCAACAGAAATGATTTAAAGGAAATTCTATCATTGGACGGGAATCCCCTTCATCTCAAAATTCTATTCTTCCCCAAGCTGAAATGAATATCTTGTATTTGCACAGCACTTTGCACTAATACAACATTATCTCTTTTGAGCTGCTCCCTCTTTAAATCCTGAACCCTTGCAGAGGAGGAACTACAATTGTTCTTGCTGAAGCAGTAGGATGTAGTCATCTAGACCACAGACTTGAGAATCTGACTGCCTCGGCTTAAATCCCAACTCTTATTTTTACCATTTGTATGACCTTGGGCAGGTTACTTAGCTTCTCTGTGCTTCCGTGTCCTCATTTATGAAATGGTGATACTAATGATACCCATTTTATGGGGTTTTGTAGGAATAAATTAATTAACATAGTTCTAGAACCATCCCCACCATCCACCATGAACTCTTTTCATCTTGCAGAAATAAGATTCAGTACCCATGAGAGTGGCAGCCACCGCTCCACTTTCCAGAATTTCCCAATTCTGGGTGCCTCATTCATCCACCAATGGACACCTAAGTATACCTTTTGGCTATTGTGAATAAGCCAAGTTAGTTTTAAATGCAAATGTAAAATGATTAAAATCATACCCAACAGATGCTGAGCTTTTAAAATTTTGCTAATCCTATTATATTTCCTATTCATTTACTTAACAAACATTTACTGAGAATCTTTGCCTGGCTGTACAAAATGCTGCCCCATCCTCTTGTGAATTATATCTTGTGAAAAAGTTATAACTACAAGGCAGAAAGGGATAAATGTCATTTAAAAGTGAGCAAACTATATAGTACTGAGGTTTAGATAACTTATATTCCCTTTCCCAGAAGATCATTTTAGGCATTTATCAGATTTTTTTCATAAAAATATCACAACTGTCTTTTGGCTAGTCTACAAGCTCACTGAAGACAGTGAATGTGTCATTCATCCCTGAGTTCCTGTATCTAAGCAGTTCCTAACAAAAAGCATGCATTTAGATGCATGTTTCATGAATCAATGAATCAATAAGTGGGGTTCTTCAGCTGGATCTTGAAGGACAGACAGGACTTAAATAGGTGCAAATGGGAAAGAACTTAAGTGAAGACATTGAGATCAGAGACTAGAGCTTCTTTCCTGACTTCTAGCGTAATGATTTCTTCAATTTCTATCTCTAACTATAGACAAAGGATATCCCTGGCACCTCAGGCCTGCATTTCCACGCCCTGTCATTTTTTATTTTCCAAATAGTTGGGGGGGGCATCAATGATGAGATGCATTGATTGGCTCCTCCTGCATGCCCCACACTGGGGATCGAGCCTGCAACCAGAGCATATGCCCTGACTGGTTCATGGGTCGATGCTCAACCACTGAGCCACACCAGCTGGGCATGCCTTGTCCTTCTTGTTCGGTTCTCCTGATATGGCTCATTGAGGGTACAAACCCTGCCTTTTCCTTCTCTAATAGTCTCCTTCTCTGGCTCCCAGCACAGACCTGCATACACAAAAAGGCCACTGTGCTATGGTGGAAAGCAGCCTGGATTTAGAATAAATTACCTGCTTTCAATCCTGGCTCTTTGGGTTACTAAGAGACTTTAGGTAGATCAATTTACCTTTCCAAATCTCAGCTTCTTTTTCTATAAATTGGGAATTATCAGTGCCTTTATAGAAACGATTGCTATGAGGACCTACAGAAAGGGTGACTCCACAGATTATAAATCCTTATCCTAAAAGGCCATCTGATCCCCTTGAATTTCCTCCACAGCATCTCCCATAGTCAGCCAACCAACTTCTGCTCAAACACCTCCCTGAATGCTTAACCCAAAGGCAGCCTTTTTTGTATTATCACAGAGTTTAAGCCCTAGATTTTTCTTTCATTACAAAGCTCTTGTCATAAAAAAAAGAGTCCAAGTAAAAAAAAATTTTATATATATATATATACACACACACACATACACTAGCAGAGTATCGTCTGATAATAGGCCAGTGCTCACTGAAGCTAAATTAAGTAAAAGGCATGAACCCCTGTTGTCAAAGAGAGGGCAGAAGGACTGTGGCTATTCTGAGATGGAAGAACCTCCTAGGAAGTTAAATAAAAATCACTGCCAATATCAGGCATCCGGATAGCCAGCATATTAATAGCACTAACGTATTTATCAACTCTCTTGGGTCTTTCAGTATCATCAATGATGTTCTAAGAGGCTGAATGCTGCACATTTAACAGAGAAGAAAAGATCTGCAGCCGGCTAATTTGTTGCTTCCCAGGAGACAGGAATAATTTATGTTAGTCCTGCACCAAGCAACATTAATTCTGCATATCTTCCTGTCTGTGGAGAACAGACTAAGTTAACGAGGGTTGGGTTGGTATATACGCCAATTATTTAGGACACTGTGGGGCTATCTGCAAACCCGTGATAAATATATATACAACTTATTGTCTTTAATCATAAAGAAAGTACCTTTCAATCAAATTGGCTCAGTGATCTCACCAACTCCTAAATCTAAGGACCACTACCCAAGTGTAAAACCTCTAAGCCCCAAGCATCAGCTTCCCCCTCCCCCTCCAAACTTCAATAACAAAGACTCACCGATTTTGTGTGCTCTGGGCGTGGAGCAATCACTGGAGGTGGGGTAGCATCATCATCATCGTCTTCATCTTCTGAGACTGGTGGCACTGCGGGGGTCTCAGACACAGTCTTCACATTCTGGACAGCAGAGAAAAAGCCAGACTCATCAGGTCCAGCTTTAAGATACCAGGATCGAAATCTCCCCACCCCTCACCAAAGAAACCTCATCCCGACACCCCTTCTGAAACCCACAGCAGCCTCTGAGCTCTTCACCGTTGTGCAGCCAGTCAGGAACTCGGTCGGCTGCCCTCTCTTCCAGTTACCACTATCCACTCAGTCCCTTCCTCCCACCCAAAGCCAACTGGGGATTGGGAAGCCAGGTTACACTTCTCCTACCGGCCTTCCCCAATCCAGACCCCGAAGACAAGCATGTAGCTCCTTCTTAATCTATAAATTCTACTCTCCACACTGAACGGGTAATAAAATACGAAATGTAGAGAAGGGATGAGAAGTTGGGAATTCTACAAAGTTTATCATTATATTCCTCACTCCTTTCTGATATGGTTAATGGAAATCCAGGCAGGCGCTTGCCTCTCCTTTTCCTTTCTTTACCAAAACCTATCGCACACCCATTATGTCCACAGGTGCCCTCGCCTCAACCTGCAGATGCAGAACCTCAGGAGCCCCTTGTCTCAAGAGAACAATGAGTTTCTCCCAAGACTGGCTACTATCCACCTCACTGGTCCTGGAATGAACCTTACCAGCATGACTGATTGGATCTGCTATAATCTCAGCAACAGGATTTTCACATGCAAACTGTAACAAAGCTGGGCCAAGAACAGCATGTTTGGGGGCAGGTCCAGGCAAAAATATCATACCACTGCTGTTTATACCACAGATATTAGACAAAATAGCTCCAAAACCTGAGATGTTTGATGGAGATTAAATGATCACAGCATAGGGCCAAAGAGGCAACAGAGATATTTTAATACATATAGACATAATTCAACAGTGTCAGATATTTTCAGGGCACCTACTCTGTGCTCAGTAAGATACTGTGATGGATACTGTTGACATAAGGATACAAAGATGAAAAGGGTGGTCTACGTCCTGAAGCAGCTCATCATCGAATATAGGAGACAGAGGGTGTGTTTCCCTTTTGCCTGCCATTTGGGGCTTCTAGAGAGAGGACAGTAGGGGGTCAGAATGACAGGGGACAGGTGGAAAACTTACCTAGAGGAATAGTAGACTAGAGGTACTGTTACCATGTGGCAGGCTGGCCATTACCACATGTGACATAATAAGGTAAGAAAAACTAGTTATCTCATATTTTCAACAGGACCTCTGGTACTGGGCATGACTTAAAAACTTTCAGTGCTGGGCACATGTAAACAACAAGCTTTGGTCACCATAAGCAATGAATTTATCCTTTCAGTCTCAAGTTTTATCACTTGAGGAATGTGGTGAAAAGTAGTAGTATAATTATAATAAGTCACTTTCAGTCCTACAATCCAATAGAGGTTCTTTCCCTGTCAAAGTGTGTGTGTATATATATATATATATATTGGGGGGGGGCAGATTTAATCCTCACCCAAGGATCTTTTTCCCATTGATTTTTTTCTTAGAGAGAGTGGAAGAAAGGGAGGAAGGGAGAGAAAGAGAGAAAAAGAGAGAAACATCAATTGGCTGCCTCCCACTTGAGCCTCAACATAGGGCCGGTAATCGGATCGGACCTGCAACCCAGATATGCACCTTTGAGCGAGAATCAAACCTGAGACCCTTCAGTCCACAGGCTGACTCTCTAACCACTAAGCAACACCACCAGGGCTCAAAACATATATTTTGATATTTTTCTATTCTAATTTCTTTTTTTAAAATATATTTTATTGATTTTGTACAGAAAGGAAGGGAGAGGGATAGAGAGGTAGAAACATCAATGAGACATCAATCAGCTGCCTCCTGCATACTCCCTACTGGGGATGTACCCGCAACCCAGGTAATGCCCTTGACCAGAATCGAACCTGGGACCCTTTAGTCCGCAGGCTGACGCTCTATCCACTGAGCCAAACCAGTTAGGGCTATTCTAATTTCTTTTCTCCTCACTATTCCTCTCAACAAACTTTAACCAGAAATCCAAAATGGGAATTAAGTTGGCTGCCTCTTCACATCGGGTTGTTGCCTTGGGGCACCCTGATGTACACTAGGTTTGTTTGCTCTAAAACTCTGTAGAGAAGGAGATTTCATCATCTTCCTTAGCAACACATTCTGTTTTCCCAGGTGAAAACTTTGGGTGGTAGTATTAACAACTATCAGAATCAGAGCTACAGGTTTTTGTCCCAAATTTTTATTTCTTATCCCTGTGTTCCTGGGCAAGGCTGTCCTACTCTAAGCCACACATTTCTCATCTCTAAAATGGGGATAATGACAGCAGCTCTCTGCCTACCTGGTTGGATTTGCATTTTAGTCTAAACTAACAACATCTTGGAGGATAAAAAAAGAATTCTTAGAAATTAAAATTCTTAGAGGGGCCCTAGGAGAATGAAATGAAATGAGGTGGGTATAAGAACTCTTTGTAAACAGTAAGGAGCTAGGAAGATATAAGGAATCAATTAAATTATCATTCTGTCTAATGACCACAAACCTCTGTTTTTTAAAAAGCCGGTGAAGAACAAAATAAAGTCCCTGGTCTGTGTCTTACATTTTAGAAGAGGAAACAGTCAAAATTAACCATTTCAGGTAGTAGTAACAAAATAATCTATGAGAGTTTAAACTCCACTCTAGATATTTTGGTTCTATGTGGTTAATCTTTCCCTGTAATCTATATATATAAAAGCCTAATATGCTATGTGTCCGACCGTTTGACTAGTCACTATGATGTTCACTGACCACCAGGGGGCAGACACTCTGATCAGTAGGTTAGCTTGCTGCTGGGGTCCAGCTGATCGGGACTGGGTGAGATGGGCTGGACATGGCCTGGAGCCAACCTCCTGTGGGCCCTCCCTAGTCTCTAAAATATTTCTTCTTATTAATTTCCTTTCAATGTGCACAAATCCATGTACTGGGCCTCTAGTTAAATAAATAAAAAACCTCATACAACGTATAGTTTTTTGTATTTAGCTTCTTTTAGTTAGCATAAAGTTTACAAGGTTCATCCAAATTGTGGCATTATCAGTGCTACATTCCTTTTTGTCTAAATCAGGGGTCCTCAAACTTTTTAAACAGGGGGCCAGTTCACTGTCCCTCAGACCATTGGAGGGCCGGACTATAGTTTTAAAAAAAACTATGAACAAATTCCTATGCACATTGCACATATCTTATTTTGAAGTAAAAAAAACAAAACGGGAACAAATACAATATTTGAATTTGCATGTGGCCCACGGACCGTAGTTTGAGAACCCCTGGTCTAAATAATAGTCCATTGTATTAATATAATACTTTTTTAAAAATCCATTCATCAATTGATGGGCATTTGGGTTGTTTCCCTTTGGGGCTATTATGAATAATGCTCATATGAACATTCACGCACCCATTTTTGTGTGAATGTATATTTTTATTTCTATTGGATATATACTGAGGAGTGGAACTTTGAGGTCAGATGGTAACTCTATGCTTATCCTTTTGAGGAACTGCCAGACTTTTCCACAGAGGCTGCCCCATTGTACACTCCCACCAGCAATTATGAGGGTTCCAATTTCTTCCTTTGATTATTTTCACTCTAATGCCTCCGTTCTCTGAATCTTCTTGAATCTCCTTGCCTAAACCCCCTGTGTCCTTTATTCTCGATTTTCCATCTTTTTTATAGTTTATATCATTAATTCGCTCTTAGATGTACTTGGCTTTTAATCCTTGTGAATTTATTTAATAATATTTTTTTAATTTCTAAGAATTCTTTTTTATCCTCTAAGATGTTGTTAGTTTAGACTAAAATGTACATCAAACTTTACCAATCTCCTATTTAAAATATTCTTTAGCTCCAGCCCTAAGTCCAAGTTCTTTGGTCTAAATGATGGATCCTCAACTTGGCTTTTTCTCATGCCACCTCCGATAAGAAAGCACTGTCCTTCCAGGTAGCTCAGTTGGTAAGAGTGCTGTCTCGATATGCCACTGTTGCCAGTTAGATCCCTGGTCAGGGCACATATAAGAAGCAACCAATGAATGCACAAATAAGTAGAACAACAAATCGATGTCTCTCTCACAATAAGGAAATAAAAAGTTTTTTAAAAAGCATTGCCCTTTTCTCTGCCTGGTATCATTACCTGTGTTTACCTGACACTATATTATAAATCCTTGTTGATGTGTCCTGTTTCCTCACAAAATTTATGAGATCAAGAGCAAAAACCGTACCAGTCTTTGACTCACCAATCTATCACACAGTAGGTGTTCATTTCATAAATGAGAATTCAGGAACTACAAGGCATGCCATCTGAGATCTCAGACCAATGCCACAAATAAAATTTTAGAGCCAGAAGCCCTTAATAAACATGTCTATTAAATGAACAAATCATTCAGTCCCAACAACTCTGTTCACACTTCTCTGTACTACTTGGCAGAATAAATCATTCGATCAAATATGACCCCCAATGTACATTATTTATACTCTCTTGCAGCCTTTCTCCCTATAGTCTGCTGTTAATTTTTCCCTCAAGGACTGAGATAGTGCATATTCATTTTTGTATCACGAACACCTTGGCACAAAGGAGGTGCTAAGTAAATATTTATTTTATGAAGGAATAAATGAATAATCAGGGGAACTGAATTTTGCATTGGTTTCCACTATTAGCTCAATTCAAGGGTAGGGAGCAAGTCATTTAATTTCTCTGAGTCTCAATTTCTTAACCTGTGTTATGGGGATAACAATCCTGTCCAATTATTTCACAAATCAGATGAAATGACCTGTATGAAACCAATGTGGGAAATACTGACATGAAACCATATCCCTCAGGTAAAACTAGCAAGGATACCGTGTACTGAGCCACCGGGACAAATGTTCTGAATCGGGAGAGAAAATGTCCTTGACGGCCTGAGTGGCTTTAACTGTAGCTACTAAACCAGTACAGGTTTTCAGCAAGCAGGTGTTCTCCTCGCTGCCATATGGCCTGAGCCCCAGGGCCCCTCCTCCTCCTCACTAATGAACAACCCGGCTATGGCTTTACTGAAGTCTCCTTTATAAGACCTCTCTGCCATCTTCTTTCTCAGTTCCCTGCCTCGGTGAGAAAAGAACCCTGGAATAGCACTCAGAAGACCCTAGTTCTAATCTGGTTCTGCCATAATAGCTAATTATGAGTCTCCAAGAAACTGTTTTTCTATCTGTGAAACAGGAATAAAAATACTTTCTTCACAAGGTAATTGTGAGGTCTAATTATTAGCACAGTGCCTGGCACATATCAGCCACTCAATATATGGGAGCTGCCACTCCTCCCATAAAAACATAAAGATATATGAACCACAAAGCACCGCTCAGCTTTCTCCAATAATTCACTATTCAACAGTGGTAAGAACCTCCCAAAGATCTTAACATTTGCAAATGCTTCCCCATCTTTTAATTATATATCTTCCATTTCATGAAAGAGTGAATAGGGGAAAGCAACGCCGACTGGGAATCTGATACCTATTTGCCATCAACCCTTCTCAAGTTCAGTTTTATCAACTATAAAGCAAAAATAATAACTGACCTCATCAAACGCCCGTGAGGATTAAAAGAAATAATAAATAAGAAAGGATTGAGTGTGCTATTAGGCATTGGACAGGTGAACATTTTTTACAAATGATGACAGGATAAATGACTCAGGGTAAACCAATCCACACTCCTGGAAACATGGTTCAAACTATTTTAACGATGACTCGACACTGTGTTAGAACTTACTACTCTCCTGCTTAAAATTCAAGAGTTTCGCATTGCCTTTAAGATAGATTAAAACTCCTACACGATCGGACCTGTTGACCACTCCTCCTTGTCACCCACTTCTATTCCCTTCACCC